GTGTTTTGTCGTGTTCGTCGAGTGCGCGAGACGGGACAACCGGGACTCGCGGGGATCATCGAGACAATTCTGGATCTGGCGGCCGCAGTATGCAGGGTGGGGTTGGCTGGACGCGAGGCGGGATACCCACGACTCTCGGGGATCATCGGGACAGCTTTGGGCTTGGCGGCGGGTATTCAAGGTGGGGTTGGCTGGGCGCGAGGCGGGATACCGGGGGTTCTCGCGGATCATCGGGGTAAGGTCTGGCGGCCGCGGTATGCAGGGTGGGGTCGGCAGGGGGGCCTGTTCCTGAAATCAAACAATCCCAACCTACCGGGTGGGAAAACAATTGCAGATGTACATATGTGCATGTATAGATGCATATGTAAATTCAGGTGTAGATGCACATGCAGTATGAATGTATGTATATGTGTGATTGTATGTATGAGTATCTGCGTATGTACACGTATATGTATATGTGTATATACGTATGTGGATCTGAATGTGTATATGTACATGCATAGTGGTTGTATGTGCGCATGGCGGTGTAAATGTGTTCGTATGTGCACATGTGCATGTATATGCATGTGGTTATGGTCATAACTCTGTTAGGTGCATGCATATGGTGATGTATATGGCTATGCACATGCACATGTATGTGTGTATGCATACCACTGTATATTGATTATGAGTAGGCATATGCACATGACTTTGTATATGTGTGAGTATGTGTGTATGTACGTGCACATGCATACGTATCGGTATGTGTATGTACATGTGTAGTGGGTGGAGACGCCTATGTATAGACGGATGTGGATATGCATGTGTATGTGTATATGGCGATGTAGATGCATATGGATATGCATAGGTGTCGAATGTTATGTATGTGTACGTGAATATGTACGTCTACATGTGTGTATTGTGTACGTGCACCTGCACATGTACACGCACACGTAATGTAGATGTAAGTGTGTTTGTGGATGTAAATGTATATGAGTATGCACATGCACATGTATGTATATATTCCGCCACCGTGCCTCTGGCACTCCGGCACGAAGTGGACTGCCCCAAGGCAAATGCAGCCCTGAGAGGTAAAGAGTTGATAAACTCTCCAGGGCCCAGACCTCAAATTTCCCGGGGGTCCCGGACATATTTGGGGTGCGTGGGCCTCCAGGGCGGTTCCCTCCCACAGGAGGGCCCTACAACGAACCAAGAAAGCCCTGGGAGGCCGCCCAGACGGTCCAGCGGAGGACACATCATCGCCGGAAGACATAGAATAAAGAAGACGTCCCAAGACGCATCCAAGAGGAGCCCTCCCCAAGAGGCAAGAATCATTGAGTTTCTTTCCAGCTGTGTGAATGAGTTGGGCGGTCTTGCCAGCCGAAGAGGCCTCCAAGAGGGCACCGAAGCGGCCCAAGAGGGCCCCAAGACCACCCAAGAGGCCTCCAAGACGGCCCAAGAGGCCCCCAAGGCGGCTCCAAGAGGGGGCCCAGACAAGGGACCCGAACGGACATGTCGAGCCCTCGGCCACGAGGCGCCCCCAGAAGGCCCCAAGCGGCTCCCAAGAGGCCCTCTGGGAAGCCCCAAGAGGCCTCCGAGAGGCCCCCAAGAGGCCCTCCAGAGGCTCACAAGATTGAGCGATGAAAAAACGGCCCTACCCTGGGTTACAAGTGCGTGGTCTGTAAACCTCCTGGGAACCCCCAAAGCCTAGAGCCGCCAGGACGCGGCACGTCACGCAGGGTTTACCCTGTCAGCCCACAGGAGTTTCAGCGCACAGCGCCTCGTAAACCAGGGTAGGGGCGTTTTTTCTGCCCTTGACAAGAGGCTCCATAACTGCCCCCAAGAGGCCCCCAGAAGCGCTCCGAAGAGACCCCAAGAAGCATCCCCTGAGGATTCTGACCCAGAAACCATTCACGGTGGCGGCATGGGCCGAAGGCCTGCTTGCAGGGGTGCACGGCGTGCTGGACGAGCTGTTAGGTTTTGGTTTTGGCTCTTTTTTCCAAAAGAACTCCCCAGTGGGCTCCGGCAGAACCCGCCACCGTGCGCAAAAACGGCCGTTTCGCTCGGGACATCCTCAAAAAATCGCGAAGATGGCCCAAGATGGCCTCCAAGTCCGCCCGAGATGGTCCAAGACGGCCTCCAAAACGGCCCAAGAGAGTCCAAGACGGCCCAAGACGGCCCAAGAGGCCCCCCAGAGGCCTCCCAGACGGCCCAAGAGGCCTCCAAGAGGTCCTCCAGGAGAGTCCGAAGAGGCCAAAATCATTGATTTTCCCTTGGTTTTTGAAGGATTTTGGCATTTGCGCCTTTTCGGCTCTCCGACGGCTCAAGACGGCCCAAGAAGCCCCCAAGATCGCCCAAGAGGCCCCCAAGAGAGCCCCTGATGGCCCAAGTGGCCTCCAAGATGGCCCCTAGAGGGCCCCAAGACGGCCCAAGAGGCCTCCAACACGCCCAAGATGGCCTCCAAGACGCCCAAGATGGCCTCCAAGACGGCCCTGGAGCGCCCCAAGAGGGTCCCCCGTTGGCCCAGACAGGCCCCCAAAACGGCTCCCGACGGCGTCAGACGTGCCAGGAACCCACCAAGATGGCCGAAGTTGGCTCGAAGCTGGCCCAAAAGGGCCCAAGAGGCCCCCAAGAGGGCCTCCAGGAAGGCCAAAAGATGCCAAAATCACTGATTTTCCCAAGGTTTTTGATGGATTTGGGCATTTCCCTTCTTTCGGCCTTCCGACGGCCCGAGACGGCCCAAGAGCCCCCAAAGATCGCCGAAAGATCGCCCAAGAGGCCTCCAAGACGGCGACGATGACCATCAAGACGCCCACGTGTTCCCCGAAGGCTTTCCAAACCGATTCGGGGAACACATGGTCCGATGGCTTGGCAGGTGTGGCCTCAACGTTCGGCCACATAGGCGCTTCCACAAAGGCAGGGGGCGGCGGTGATTCGCCGTAGGCGTCTTCGATCCGCCGCCGCCTTTGCGTGTCACAGGGGTGCCCAGCGTGCTGGACGCTACCGTTTTTGGCTTTGGCTCTTTTCCAAAAGAGCTCTCCCTGGGGCTCCGGCCCGTCCCGCTGGCCACCCGGAAAGAGCCGGAAGACCCCGTTGCCAAGGTTTTTCCTGCTCCAGACAGCTCCAAGATGGCCCAAGCTGGCCTCCAAGATGCTTCCAAGATGGCCAAGATGGCCTCCAAGACGGCCCAAGAGGGTCCAAGATACTTTCAAGTCCGCCCAAAAAGCCTCCAAGACGGCCCAAGACTGCCCAAGAGGTGCCCAAGAGGCCTCCAAGACGGCCCGACAGGCCTCCGAGAGGTCCTCCAGGGGGGCCCGAAAAGGCTAAAATCGTTGGTTTCCCTTTGGTTTTGAAGGATTGTCGTATTTGCTCTTGTTCGGCCTTCCGACGGCCCAAGACGGCCCAAGAGGCCCCCAAGATCGCCCCCAGAGTGTCCAGAAAGCCTCCAAGATGGCCTCAGGACTGCCCAAGAGGCGCCCAAGACGGCCCCAAGAGGGCCCAAAGACGGCCCAAGAGGCTTCTAAAACACCCCAGGAAGCCTCCAAGACGGCCCTGGAGCACCCCAAGAAGGCCCCAAGTCGGCCCAGAGAGGCCCCCAAGACAGCTTCCGACGGCGTCAGACGGGCTAGGAGTCCACCAAGACGGCCAAAGAGGCTCCCGGAAAGCTTCCAAAGGACCCCAAGAAGCCCAAGGAGGCCCCCAAGATGCCGCCAAGAGGCTCCCAGGAAGCTCCCAGGAGGCCCCAAGAGTGTCCCCAGAGGCTCCCAAGATGCCCCCTCCTCCTCCTCCTGTTCCTTCTCCGCCTCCTCCGCCTCCTTCTGATCTTCCCCGCCATCCTCCCCCAAGTGCCAAGTGTTCCCCAAAGGGTTTCCACAACGGTTGGGGGAACACATGGTCCGATAGCTTGGTAGAGCTCGTGCCACAACGCTCGGCCACATGGGCGATTCTAGAAGGCAGGGGGCGGCGGTGATTCGCCGTAAGCGTCTTCGATACATAGGTACATGGATATGTGTACATACATATATGTGTGTGCACACACTGGCATGTATACATATATATGTATATATATATATGTATAGAGATGCATACACACACAAGTGCGTGTAAATATACATCGATGCTGCACTGATATGTTAAACATTAGTGCTACACATTAACCCACTTAGATGCATACATAAGTACATCGTGCTCGAATAATAATATGAGTACTGTTACGATCATCGCCATTGCTTTTTTTCGTAACACTATTACGATTCGCCTCAGTAGTATACATATTCAATATTTAAATTGGGAAGCACATTGGTGCATATGTAGATTATGATGAGGGAGGACAGCGTGGTACTGACACGCTACTCCCCCGACCTCTCCAGGGGTGCGTCTTGCCCAGAACTCCCAGATGCGAATCCAGCCGCGGCGACGAGGGAAGGACCGCGGCACCTCCACGTGCTCCTCCCCCGAGGAGGAGGCAGAAGGGAAGTGCGGGGATGGCGGAGAGATAGAGGCCTCCTAGATGGGGCAGGAAAAGACGGGGTCGGAGGACCGCGCCGCATCGCCGATGCACCGGCGATGCATCGGCGATGCACCGGCGATGCATCGTCGACGTGGGCGATGCATCGGCGACGTCGACGTGAAGCGAATCGGGCTGCACATCGGGCCGCATCGGCGGTGCGGCGCGATTCGCCGACCCCTTCTGCTCGGACCCCATCCAGGAGGCCTGGAAGAAAGGAGGGCCAGCCAGAGACCCCCGCTCCTCCTCCTCCTCCTCCTCCTCCTCCTCCTCTTCCTCCTCCTCCTCCTCCTCCTCCTCCTCCTCCTCTCCTCCTCCTCTCCCCCCTCCTCCCTCCTACTCCTCCTCCTCCTCCCTCCTCCCTCCTCCCCTCCTCCTCCATCCTCTCCTCCCTCTCTCCTCCTCATCCTCCTCTCTCCTCCTCATCCTCTCCCTCCCCCCCTCCTCCTCCTCCTCCTCCTCCTCCTCCTCCTCCTCCTCCTCCTCCTCCTCCTCCTCCTCCTATCGCGGGCGCCTCGGGGAAGACGCAGCGCTGCACGAGCTGCGGCACCAGGTCCTTCCGCCAACGGGGGCGGCTGCGAGGCGGCGAGGCTCGCCCCACACGGGGCCCCCATCCTCGTCATCCTCCTCCTCCTACTCCTCCTCCTCCTCCTCCTCTTCCTCCTCCTCCTCCTCCGACAAGCAGTCCGCGCCCGGGCGCGCCACGGCAGCGTGACGGTGAGGCACACAAAGTTTTGGGTCGGGCGTGTCCCTCTACAGGGGGCATATCCAAAAATAGTCTAAAAACATGTCCGTGGGGGCGATATTTTGAGTATGGTTGATCATTTGCTTTAGATGTGTTTCGACGATTTTTACTGCTCACCCGAATTCCGCATGTCGGAGGACACGCCCGACCCGAATCGAGTCGGCGGCGCGCGGAGCGAGAAAGTGAGAGGGCGCAGGCCTTCTCGGAAGGCGGCGGGGCTTCTCGGACGCCACCCGGCCTGCTGGTAAGCCCTCGGCGGCTTCGGAGGAGGGCCAGAAGCCTTCTCAGAGAGGGCCGTTAGGCGTTGCTGAATGGGGGGGTCATAAATGGGGGGGGTCAGAAAAGGTCCCCTTTCGTGCCCCTTTCGGGCCCCTCCGGAGCCCCAGGGGGCTCGTTTAGGTACCGTTTGGGTACCTTTTCGGACCACCCTCGCCACCCCCCCATTTATGACCCCCCCATTACGCAACGCTCAAGGCCGGAGGCCTTCTGAGCCTTCCGAGGAGGCCTTCCTCTCAGGTCGGGCGTGCCCTCCTACAGGCGGATTCTGGACGAACAGTAAAGAGTAGTATAACAATATGCAACAGATGATCCAAATCACTCAGAAAATCGTCCCCAGGCTAGTTGTACTATTTTTGGGTACAGTCGGGGCGTTGACCCAAGGAGCCCAAAATAAGGAACGAGGCCCCTTTTTCCATAAGTTAACTTTCGATTTCCGATCGAAAACATAAGGAAAACCTCAGGCAAGCTGTGAAACACTCAAGGAACACCCAACCCCTCCCCAACGAACAGGGTTCCTTCTTCAGGTCCCCGACTGCATTCCTCCTGTAGAGGCACACGCCCAACTTAACCCCTCCCTCTGCCTGCCCTCTCTGGGCGCGCCGCCGATCGAAACGGCATCTGCTGCCCCACTCCCCCCGGGTGTTGGGGCTGGGGCTCGAGTGCTATACGTACAGTCGGGGCGTTGACCGAAGGAACCCTAAATAAGGAACGAGGCTCCTTTTCTCCAGAAGTTTAAACTTCGATCTCCCATCGAAAACATAAGGAAAACCTCAGGCAAGCTGTGAAACAATCAAGGAACACCGAGCCCCTCCCCAACGAAAAGGGTTCCTTCTTCAGCGCCCCGACTGGATTACGCGGCCGTGGTTGTGGTCATATCCGACTGTGTTCGCGCCAAATGTGTGGGCACGTGTTGTCCGGGCACCCGATGGGGAGGGCAGGTCTGGGATCTTGTTGGCGGGTGTGGTCGAAAGGGAAGGCCGCGTGAGAACTCGGCGCCAGGATCGGGAGATTCAGGCACACGGGGCCCGTTGCCTGAACGGCTCGGGCACGCTGGAAACCCTGAGACCTAGCGCGAAAGGCTCTGGGAAGGGGTGTCCCCACTCTTCTGCTCTTCGTCCTCGTCTTCATCCTCCTCGTCGTCATCATCATCAGCATCATCATCATCACCAGCATCATCATAAGCAGCAGCAGCATCCTCATCAGCATCATCATCAGCATCATCCTCATCCTCATCCTCATCACCATCACCATCATCATCAGCATCATCATACTGATTTCGGCTCAGGCAGCAAGTGCCCAAGGTGGCAATCCTGCAGATAGCGGAGCGATCGGTCAAGAGACCTGTCCCCCCCCCAAGCCCCTCCTCCCTCCCACACGTCACCCCGAAGATATCTGAAACCTGACCCGCCCCTCCTACGCCTCACTTCATCTCACTCCACGCTAAGTTCTTGGTCGGCGGCGGCCTGTCTCCAGGAAGCGGTCAGAAAGCACTGGGGCGCAGCGGCAGACCAATCGGGACACAGGAGGTGGTACACTAGGAGGCGGAGGAGGAAGAGGAGGAGGAGGAAGATGTCGAGGACGAGGGGCATAATGAATAGAGCCAGGAACGTGAGGAGAGTGAGGACAAGGAGGATGAGGAGGGGGAAGAGTAGGAGGAAGGATGCAAGGTCACATTACGTAAGACGATCATCTCGACGGCCCCAGGATGTCCTCACAGGATTGTAGTGCGCGTGGGTCATCGTCGTCGTCATCATCAGCATCAGCATCATCATCGTCATCAGCATCATCATCAGCATCAGTATCAGCATGATGATCATCATCATCATCATCACCAGCAGCATCATCATCATCATCATCATCATCATCATCATCATCATCATCATCATCATCATCATCATCATCATCATCAGCAGCAGCAGCAGCAGCAGCATCATCCCTCCAACCTCATCCTACATCGCTCCTCCCTCCTCGGTCCTCGATCCTCCCTCCCACCTCCTCCTCCCCTTCATCCTCTCCACCCCCCTCCACCTTCCCATCTCCTCCCCGCCGCTTCCCTGATCAGGACGGAGGGGGGGGGGGGAGAGAAGGGAGGAAGAGGGGGGCCGCACAAGGGAAAACACTCAGAACCCCCACAATGAAATATCATTAGACAGCCCTACACTTAAGACCAATAGGAAACCCGTAACTCTAAAACTTAAAGGAAACATGCAATCAAAAACACTACGACATCAGCGTACTTTAAAATGATCTAGAAGAAAACTCCATACACGTATCAACAAGCTAGACACCCGTACAATCAACAACAAAAAGTACACGTCTTGGGTGCACGAACCCTGTGTGGGGGAACGCCCCTCCCCCAGAAAAAATGTGAAGGTTCCAAGAACAAGTCCGTGGCTTTTCTGGACGTCAAGCTGCCTGGGCAGATCTGGGCTGGAGATGTCTGGAGAGAGCCCAAAGGCCCGAAAACCACTGATGTGTGGTTGGATGTTTGTATTTTTCGGGGGTGGGCTGGAACACTCACCGGGTTCGTGGACCCAAGACGCCTGTTATCGTTTGAATGTGGTTTTATCGCACTCAGACTACCTGGTTGATCACCCTCACGTGTTATTTGATTTGCGTGCTTTGCTTTTTGGGTACCCTCACAAGGTTCGTGGACTCATGACGTTTTCTTGTGTTGGGTTGTACGGATTTCTTAGTGCTATCAAATGTAAAGACTTCTTCTCGGAGGAGAAGGAAGATGAGGAGAAGGAGGAGGAGGACGAGGATGAACATGAGGAGGAGAAGATGGAGGACGAGGAGGAGGAAGAGGATCATGATGCTGATGATGCTGATGACGGTGGTGATGATGGTGAGGATGAGATGATGACGGGAAAAACCTCACGCCACCCACCTCTCACCATGAACACCCCCTCTGCGTACCCCTCTACTCCAGCCTGCGGAAAGATGGGCCACCCAGGGCGGTCAACCCAACCCCTCAGTGCCGACCACCCTGACCCCATCCCTGCCATCGCTTGGACGTCCACCGTTCCCCGTGCACTGTTCGGATCAGCAATTTCCCGCGGACCCCTGCCTGATCCGCACGGAGCCTGTGGACGGCCCCCCGCAAGCCCAGACCGGACAGAAGCGCGCGTTTGGCTTCGCCTCCCCCCCCCCACCGTTCAGGGCGGTACCCTTGTGCAGCTGCCTTGTGTGCAAGGGTGAGATTGGCGACGGTCATCAGCATCACCGCCCCCACCCCCGCGGCACCCGGAGTGCAGAGATTTGGGAGGTGGCCACTTGCCATGAATCACTAACTAACCAGACCACCCCAACCGAACCCGAAGACCCAAATGTCGAGTCCGAACCCGAAGGCCCAAATGTCGAGTTTGGGGGGGAGTACGGGCTCCACATGTGCTTTCCCAATGCTCCCCGACGCCCCCCCCCCCACCCCTCTGGGGATGGACGGCAAGTTGGAGCCCTCGGGTTGGGTTGGAGTGGTGTTTGTGGGGTGGTGGACGAAGGGAAAGGGCCCGGGCCCGATGCAAAAGGGTCTCGAGGTCCTTCGCCGCCCCCGGCTTCACGCACCTGGCCAAAATGGGTACACCGCCCAACAGCAAATGCTGTCCCAAACCGACAGCGGCCGCTTTCGGGCAGGCGGCTTTTTGACTTCAATGAACAACGTCCGCGGCGGCGCGGACAGCGAGTCCTGCTCAGAATCAACAGGAACTGCCGCCGGGCATCGTACCCGTTCTCTCCGTACCCATCATGTCGATCGTCCCGAAAAAAACTGCCCCAGGATGAGCAGCCGGCACTCAAGCGAAAGCGCAATGTGTCCAGGACACGTCTCCCTCCGGACCCCCGCTCTCTCCTGGCCAGACAAGGGCGCGAGCAACACGTCGTTCTTGGTCTCAGCGTCGCTTGCGCTTAGAACGGCCCAGCCAACAAGGACGACGCCGTCCCCCAAGCAACCCGTTTCGCAAAACAGGCATGCAAAAACTAGCAAAAAAACATGTTGCTCGCGCCCTAGCCAAGACATCTCGGAGCCAGGCCATCTTGCCACCCCGCGGGAGCACGGTCGACGTCTTGCCCAGCGCTGCGGTCTCTGCCGCGGGTCCTTGTCCGGGTCGTCCTCTCCAGACAGCTCGGAGCCGCTACTTTTTTCGTTGAGTGGTGGGCGGGGGAACGCGGAACGCTCAGGAGCTAGAGGTCTTAGAACATGTTGGCCCTACTTGCAGCAACGACGACGACGACGCCGACGCCGACGACGCCGTCCCTGTGTGCGGCGACGACAACGACGACAACGATAACAACGACGACGACGACAAAGACGACGAAGACGACGACGACGACGACGACGACAACGACGACGACGACGACGACGACGACGACGACGAAGGCGACGACAACGACGACGACGACGACGACGGCGACGGTGACTGCCGCGTCCGGCGACTGAAGCCGGCAAGGCCGGACGGCCCGCCCCAGCGCACGAGGCCCCCCGCTTGGATGGCCGCCCCCGGGGCGCTCTCGCGAGGCAGCTCGAGGCGGGCGGGCAGTTCCGAGCACGTTGCCGCCGCCGCCGCCGTCCGCCCTGATGCTCAGCCCTCCTCCGGCTGGATCAGTCGGCATCGAGTCGGGATTGGATCGAAACGACAGTTCCGTTGAAGCGTGCTGCATCGGCACGGAATTCAAGCCGAATCGGATCGGCTGCGCCAACATCACCTGCAGCGCCGTGCTAACATCGGTTCGCATCGGGTCGTCGGAATATCGGAATCGAACCAGATCGAGTCGGGCGCAACAGATGCAGTCGGACCTGGGCCAGGAGAACATCCTTCAATAAGGGCTCCCAACTTCGCGCTTCGCGCTGCGCGAAGCGCGAAGCGCGAATAACTTCGCGCCCTCGCGCCGCCCTCCCAAAGGGAGAAAAGGAGGACGAGGAGGAGGGGGAGAAGGAACGAGGACCGCGAAGCGCGAAGCGCGAATAACTTCGCGCCCTCGAGGGAGCCCTTGGGTCGTCGGAATATCGGAATCGAACCAGATCGAGTCGGGCGCAATAGATGCAGTCGGACCTGGGCCAGGAGAACATCCTTCGAGAACACGAGGCCCTCCGTCGGCCAAACACACAGAACATCCAGGGGTACCCTCCACGGGGTGCACAAGAACATTCCACAAGCAGGGAGAACACTAGGGCACCCGCACCGAACCGACCTCCATCTTCTGCCTTGGTCCGACTGTATCGGATCGGATCGATCGGATCGAAATGGACCCTCTCTGTGCGCAGGTGGCCTGGACGGCGTCCTCGTCCAGCCTCCTTCCCCCCTCGAGGACCCTTTTTGGACCCAGGTTGGCTCCAAGAGGGCTCCTGGTAGCCCGAGATGGTCTCCACGATGGCTCGAGATACCCCTCCGTGGCTCAAAATGCCCTCCAACATCCCGCCGAGAAGCCACGGAACCTCCCAAAGACGGCTCCAAGTGCCACGGAGCGTTCCAAGGAGACCCCCGACCTGGCGAAGTCTTGCAAGATTTCTGAATGTTGGAGGGAGGGTGCGGCAGAGGCGAAGGGCAGGGAGGGGGGCAACCAGAGGAATTGCGGGATCAAGAGGACAGGAGGAGGAGGAGGAGGAGGAGGAGGAGGAGGAGGAGGAGGAGGAGGAGGAGAGAAGGAGGAGGGGGAGGGAGGAGGGACGAGGAAGAGAAGTAAGAGCAGGAGGGAGAAGGGAATCGCGGATCGGAGCATCAAGGGGTGCTGATATTTCTGGCCCAGGCGCACCCCAGGACTGGGGCTGAGGGCGGCAGCGTTCGGCGCGCGCACCTCATCTTCGACTCCAGCACGAGAACTGACAAATCACCTCCCGCGTGGTGAGGATCGGGGTATCCTGGGCCGTCTTTGGGGGTCTACTGCGGGCCGTGCTGGGGGGGGGGGTCTTTTGGAAGGTCTTTAGGGGGCTCCTCTGGACCATCCTGGTCTCCTCTGGGCTGCCTTGGCAAACTCCCAGAGATGCGCGGGGCCATAAAAGCCCTCTGGAGCTCATTTTGCGGCCCTCCGAGGGGGTGTCTTGGAGCCCTCTTGGGCTGCCTTGGACGCCCCCCTGGGGTCCGTTGGGGAGGGCTTCTGGCGGTGTCTTGGGAGGGGCCCTGGTGGCGTCTTGGCTCTTGGGCCGACCTGGGCGCTCGAAGCAGCGCAAAGTAAGGGCTCCCAACTTCGCGCTTCGCGAAGCGCCACGGAAGTGGCTGCATCGGCACGGAGTTCAAGCCGAATCGGATCGGCTGCGCCAACATCACCTGCAACGCCGTGCTAACATCGGTTCGCATCGGGTCGTCGGAATATCGGAATCGAACCAGATCGAGTCGGGCGCAAAGTAAGGGCTCCCAACTTCGCGCTTCGCGCTGCGCGAAGCGCGAAGCGCGAATAACTTCGCGCCCTCGCGCCGCCCCCCCAAAGGGAGAAGAGGAGGACGAGGAGGAGGGGGGAGAAGGAACGAGGACCGCGAAGCGCGAAGCGCGAATAACTTCGCGCCCTCGAGGGCGCCCTTGGCAAAGGCAAGCCTCCGAAGATCACTCAAAAACGCATGGGGAATCAGTGAGTTACGCCTCTCGGGGGACTTCCAGAAGTCATGAAAGTCATCGTAGGCACCCTGGGCCCATCTGTAGAGGCCTCCTAGATGGGCTCCGAGTTGATAGGGTCGGATGATCTCGCCGCATCGCCGATACATCGGCGATTCGTCGCCGATGCATCCGCCATGCACCGGACATGCAGCGGCGACGCTGGCGAGGCATCGGCGACGTCGGCGTAGAGAAAACCTGCCTCCGCATCAAGCCACCTTGAAGGTGTCTGCGCCGTCCGCGGCGTCACTTGCCGGTGACTCGCGCCCTCCTCGGGACTCCCGGGCCTCCCTGGGGACCGCCCGCGGCCGTCACGCGAAAGCCCATGGGGGAGATGCAGGAGGCCCTGGAGAGCGATGTTCCCAAATTGTGGGCTGATGGTCCCAGGTTGCGACACTCGATGTCCTTCCCGAGCTCGGTCTTTCTCTCTCTCTCTCTCTATTCCTCTCTCTCTCTCTCTACCTCTCTCGTTATGTTGTTGTTATCTCTCTATACATGTGTATATATATATATAGGTGTGTATGCAAATATGGCTACATCTACAGACACTTACAAAATTACATATCTATACGTTTATAACGTATACAGAGATATACATATACGAATGTGTGTGTACATGTACGCCACCATGCCGCTTGGTACGAAGTGGGGCGTGTCCCCAGGTCCTTTGCCCAATCCCCTGAGCCTCAGTCCTTGATCCGATGGAGCCCTGAAAAGGCCTGGACTCCAAATTGCCAAATCATCTTGGGCTTGTCGCGGTTCCCCTAGGATAGGGCACCGCCTGGGCCTTGGATCGTCTCCCCGCGTAACGTGTACGGGCCCCAGAGGGCGTCAAGACAAGACCAGATGGCCCCCACAGGGCCTCAAGACGGTCCAAGAGGGCTCCGAGTCCCCGGAAGATCGCCCCAAGACGTCAAAGATGGCCTCAACACGGCTCAATGAGTCTCCGAAACGCTCCAAGAGGCCTCGTAAGAGGGCCCTCAGAAGCAACAGTCACCGATGGTCCTGAGGTTTTTGACAGGTTCGGGGGTCCTCGCATTTTCGGCTTCCCGCCGCTCCAAGATGGCCCACGAGGCTCCCAAGATCGCCCCAAGACGGCCCCATGGGTCCCCAAGAAGGCCCCAAGACGGCCCAAGCGGGCCAAAAGAGGACCCAAAATGAGGCCCAGATGGGCACAGGAGGCCCCAAGAGGCCCCCAGGAGACTCCAAAGAGGCCCCCAAGGGGGCCCCAAGAGGCCCACAAGAGGCCCAAAGAAGCCCCCGAGACGCCTCCAGGAGGCTCCCAGGAGGCCACCAAAACTGCTCCCAAGAGGCTCCCGAGAACGCTCCGAAGAGTCCCAAATTAGCATCCCTAAGAAGTCTGACCCACGACCCAGGTAAGGCGGCGGGACAGGCTGAGGGCAATATCTATGTATATACACGTACCGGTACACACGTACGTGTATGTATATATATATACATATATATATACATATATTTATATATAACGTGTGTGTACGAGTATATATATATACATATATATACACACATATATACATATATATATGCGTGCGCACATACATACGTACATACATGCATACATGCATACATGCATGCATGAATGCATAGATACATACATGCACGCACACAAGCATGTATGCATATATTTATGTACATGCATACATGCATACATGCATACATACACACAAACATACATACAGCCATACATACATAGTCATCCATACATACATACATATCGATACATGCATACATACATACACACATACATACATGCACGAAAACATATACCTACACATATACATACGCATATACATATACCTATACATACAAACATATGCATATACATAGACATATACATACACAAATGTATAGATATACATGTACATATACATATACATACACCTATGCAAAAACACTTACATACGTACAGTCATAGATACATACATACATACATACACACACATATACATACACACATGCATACAGACACACGCACATACGCTACATGCATGCACACCTACCTGCATACCTACATACGTACACACACCTACACACATACATGAATATCTGTATATAGTCATACCTGCATGTAAGCATACATACGTGCAGACGCCAATACACACGGACGTGCATACGTATACAACTACACATGCATACACATAAACCGCAATGTATGCATATGCGCATGCATATACATGTACCTATACAAACGCATATGCATATACCTATACACCTACAAATACCTAGACCGATACATCTACGTATACATCTACTGATACCTATACCTATACATACACATGCACATACACATACATGCATGCACTCATGCATACAGAAAGAGCGCTCGCACTCACTAACTCGTTCTCTCTCCCTCTCTTTTCTATATATATATATACACACCGTTCTCACTCTTCCGTTCTCTACCCTCGCGACTGCTGCTGCTACGGCTGCTGATACTGCCACTGCTAGTGCCACTCTGCTAATCCTTCTGGCCCAACTCCTCCTCGTCCTCCTCCTCCACTCCACCTCAGCAGCGGCATCATCAGCACCATCATCAGCATCATCAGCATCATCATCATCATCAGCGTCGTCGTCATCAACAGCGTCATCGACAGCATCAACATCATCAGCAGCAGCAGTTTCGCCATCACCATCAGCAGCAGCAGCATGATCATCGTCAAAACCACCATCAGCAGCATTAGAATAATAATAATCATCGTCGTCGTCGTCCTCGTCGTCGGTGTCGTCGCCGTCACCATGATCAGTATCATAAGCATCACCGTCATCATCGACAGCATCATCACCATCATCAGCATCGTCAGCATCATCAGCACCAGCATCATCATCAGCATCGTCGTCGTCATCGGTATCAGCATCATCATCAGCACCGTCGTCGTCATGGTCAACATCTTGAGCATAAACATCAACATCATCATCCTCAGCATAATCGTCTTCTGCATCATCGCCATCAACACCATCAGCGTCACGGTCGTCATCATCATCATCGTCGTCGTTATCGTCATCATCAACATCATCATCATCAGCATCATCCCTCCTCCTCATCATGCTGCGGGTGATGCTCATAGTCCTCCTCACGCTGTTCCTGCTCCTCCTCATACAAGTCATCATGAGCATCGCCATCATCATCGTCATCGTCATCACCACCAGCATCAGCATCAGCATCGGCATCAGCATCATCAGCATGATCTGTATCACCATCATCCTAATAACCATGACGATCGTAATCAAAAGCAGCATCAGCATCACCGTCACGACCGCCATCAGCACCATCATCATCATCGTCATCATCATCATCATCATCATCAGCAGCATCATCATCATCATCAGAATCAACATCATCATCATCATCATCAACATCATCGTCAAAATCATCATCAATAGCGTCGCCGTCATCCGCATCGCCACAATCATCATCACCGTAAGCTTCATCAACATCATCATCACTGTCACCGTTGGCGCCATCATCATCATCATCATCATCATCATCATCATCATCATCAGCATCATCATCATCATCATCATTATCATCATCATCTTCACCCACATCAACATCAACATGAACATCGTCATCACCATCCGCATCAGCATCATCATCAGCATCATCAGCATCATCAGCATCATAAAAATCATCCTCGGCAGCATCATCCTCATCATCAACATGAGCAACACCATCATCATCATGATCGTCGTCATCAGCATCATCATCATACTCACCATCATCATCACCACCACCATCATAATCATCATAATCATCAACATCATCACCATCGTCATCATCATCATCCGCAACATCATAATCAGCATCATCATCATAAGTATCAGCATCAGCATCATCATCAACATCATCAACATCGTCAACATCGTGATCATGATCATCGCCATCGACGTCAGCAGCAGCACGATCGTCAACATCATCACCGTCGTAGAGTCGTCATCGTCCTCGTCTTCGTCGCCAACACCACCACCATCATCATTGCCGCCCTCTCTGCCGGCGTCGCCGTTATCAACAACGGAACCACCCTCCCGAACACCAGCTTGAAACCATGCCGGAGGCAAGGCAACAAAAGCATCATGATCTGCTTCCGCCTCCTCCTCCTCCTCCTTCCTCAGGATGCCCCTCTCAGCTGACTCCTCCTCCCTCCTCCTACCCGAGTGCCCTTCTCCGTTGCCTCCGCTGACTCCTCCTCCGCCTCCCCCTCTCCCCCTCCCCCCCACTCCATTAACAGGGATATGTCGACCCCCATCCCAGGCTTCGTGGGGTCTTCGAGAGGACCCGAAATTAGGTGCCCAACCCTGGGATGTAAGATGGGGGGGCGTCCATCCTCGAAAAGGTGCATCCAAATGGCCCCCTTGGGGTGTATCCCAGGGTTCCCCTCCTTTTCTGAGCGGCTTCATTTGTCGTCGACAAGTCGCGGGCTGGGGGAGAACATCGCCTGCGATCCATGTCTGCCAAGAGACTTTGCCTGCAGATGCAGAAATATCAAGCCAGACCGCCCAGATCTATGATCCCGGATGCGAAGACGGGGACCTCAGTGAGGGCACGTCTTCATTGTCTCATTCGGGTTAGGGTTTCTTTTGTTCTCGATGACCCCCCCTCCCCCCCTCCTCCCCCACCCCATTCAAGGGGCCCCAGGACACACAAATAAATACACACAAATAAAATGATCCCCCATATTTTCCTACATTTTCTGGGTTTTTGCCTTCCCGCCCAAATCCCATATTTTCCAATATTTTCTTGGGAATCGACGATTGATTGTGTCTGCGTGTTTTTGTTCCCTCCTGACCCATGTCTGCCAAGAGAGACTTTGTCTGCCAGCCGCGGATGCCAGGACCGCCCTCGCCCTGCCCCGCTCGCCGGGGGTCCTCCCGGCCGACCGGCCGCCCGAGAGAAACGGCGCGCCTCCGTGAACGCGGCCAGGTCTTCGAACCAGCCGAAGCCCTCCGCGGAGGAGCGGGAGGGGGAGGGGGAGAGGGACAGGGGAGCACGGCGGGGAAGGGAGTGGGAGGAGGAGGGAGAGGAGGAGGAGGGGGAGGAGGAGGAAGAGGAGGAGGAGGAGGAGGAGGAGGAGGAGGAGAAGGAGGAGGAGGAGGAGGAGGAGGAGAAGGGGAGGAGGCGGAGGAGGCGAGGAGAAGGAGGAGGACGAGGAGGACGAAGGGGAAGGTGGCGAAGACCAGGCAGCAACAGAAGAATAGAGGTGGAGGGGGAGGAAGGGGCAAGGGGTGAGGCGGAGCAGGATGGGGACAAGAGGAGAAGAAGGAAGGGGTGCGAGAGGGGGAAGGAGAGGGTCAGGGAGGGCGGACGACGACGACGTGACGGCACGTGACGTGCGACGTGCCTTCCGTCCTGGACCTCCGATGTCCTCACTCGTGCAGCGCGAGGCCCCCGGGACCTCTCGAGACCCGTGTGGCAGCCGAAGGGCGAAAGCCGGGTGAGCTGTCAAGCCGGGTCCTGCCGCGGGCTCGCGCCTCGTGAGGCTGTGGGGCCGCAGAGCGCTGGCGACACCCGGCCCCTCAGGTCTGTTCAGGGCCCCGTAGACCCGGACACGCTAGACCAGGACACCCAACATCCCTCGAAACCATTTTTTCAAAACGGCGGCACGAACAAAATACTAAATACTGCACTGCAGCACTTCCAGAATCAACCTGGACACAGGCCCCAAAAGCCTGCAAGACCCCCCTCAAGCCGGACACAAACCCGAATCCTGCAATGCAACAAACGAAACTTGCACGGGTGCTGAAAAACGTGACTTTGCAGAAAAGGATGTCGTTTCCTTGGTTTTCCGTGTCCTGGTTTCTCTGTGTCCTGGTCTCCAGGGGCCTGATCTTTATTTCAAGTCAGGGCTCCGGCTCCGCTGGGGGGGGGGCTTGGGCACTGCGCCGCGAGCCCACATGTACATCACAGAGGCTGCCCATTTCCTCCGCAGGGGCTGGATGCTCCAAGTCGGGGCACCGCTGGAGAAGAGGGAGGGGCACCTGGAAGCAAACCCACAAGACCATCGCGGAGGCTATCTACTCGACCACCGAGGGCTAGCTACTTCAAGTTTGGGTTCCACTGGGGGAGAGGGTTGGGCACTACACCGCGAACCCACCCTGCTCGTCGCGTAGGCTACCCTCACTCCTCGAACTAGCTACTTCAAGTCTGGGCTCCGCTGGAGGAATGGGTTGGGCACTGTGCCGCGAGCCCTCAAGAACACCAAGGGCTAGCTACTTCAAGACTGGGCTCCATTGGATGAGAGGGTTGGGCCTGCGCCGCGAACCCACATGTACACCACGGACTCGCTACTTCAAGCCAGAGCAGGGCGGGGACACCGCCACGTGTCCCAACCTGCTCGGGCGAGCTAGTGAGACGCCTCCAAGAGAGAGTTATCACAAGCGAAAAAAACAGTTCCTATCGAGACGCGTTTTGCTGGCCTCGCCATCACCTGCGAAAAGACAGTTCCTATCGAGCCGTGTTTCGTTGGCCTGGAATACCATATCGTGCGTATACAGACACGAGCCATCCCCTGTGGCGCGACGCAGCTGACCGAGGTCGTGAACAGTTGCGCGCCTGCATAAGGGAAAGTTCGTACATGCCCCTCCTGCTTCAGGGCGGCGATCGCGTCGACTCCGAGGGCGACCTACTTCAGGTCCGGGCTCCGCTGGAGGAGTGTTTTTTTGGGGCACTGACCCGCAATACCGCACGTACACCACCACGGCCTCGCTACTTCAAGTCTGGGCACCGAGTCTGGGCTCCCTTGGAGAGAGGGTTGGTTGGCCCTGCGCCGCGAACCCACATGTCCCTCACGAAGGCCAAGCGCGTCGACTCCGAGGGCGAGCTACTTTCGAGCCAGATACTTCACGTATTGGCTCCGCTGGAGAAAAAAAAGTTCGGCCTGCGCCGCGAGCCCACTAGTTGTTCACAGATGTACACCACCTCGACTTCGTGGTCCAACTACCAGAAGAATGGTTCCGCTTGAGGAGTGGATTGGGCACTGGGCCGCGAACCGACACGTACACCACGGACTCGCTACTTCAAGTCTGGGCTCCCTTGGAGGAGAGGGTTGGGCCTGCGCCGCGAACCCACATGTCCCTCGAGATGACCAATCGAGTCGACTCCGGATTCGGACCTGCAGATGTCGCCAGCTAGGGCGTCGCAGGCGGGCGCCGTAGCGCCATGCATGTGAAACGTGTGAGACGTCAATCAAGATTAAGCGTGCGCTGCCATGGAGGCTAAATCAACAGGGCACCAATCGCGTCGACTCCGAGGGCGAGCTACTTCAAGCGTAGGCCTGGCGCGCCCCGACGAAAGTGCTCGACTCCCGCGACGCGTGCAGCGAGCTGCTCTTCGAGTTCGAGGCCCGAGGAGGCCCCGTCCCGCGGGCGCTCGGACCGGAGGAGGAGGAGGAGGAGGAGGAGCGGCCATCAGCATCATCATCAATAACATCAGCATCAGCATCAGCATGCATCATCAACATCATCAGCATCAGCATCATTATCATCATCACCAGCATCATCACCATCACCATCATCAGCATCATAATCGGCATTATCGTCATCATCATCCCCCTCCTCCTCCTCCTCCTCATCATCATCATCATCAGCAGCATCATCAGCATCAGCATCAGCGTCAGCATCAGCATCAGCATCAGCATCAGCATCATCATCCTCATCCTCATCCTCATCATCATCATCATCATCATCATCATCATCATCATCATCATCATCATCATCCTAATCATCATCATCATCAGCATCATCTTATCATCCTCATCCTCATCCTCATCCTCATCCTCATCCTCATCATCTCATCATCATCATCATCATCATAGTCATCTGCATCATCCATCAGCAGCATCATCATCATCATCATCATCATCAGCATCAGCATCATCATCATCATCATCATCATCATCATCATCATCATCATCATCATCATCATCATCATCATCATCATCATCATCATCATCATCATCATCATATCCTCCCCCTGATCCTCCTCCTCCTGCTCATCCTCCTCCTCCTCCTCCTCCTCTGCCTCCTCCTCCTCCTCCTCGTCCTCGTCCTCGTCGTCCTCATCATCCGCCTCCTCCTCCTCCTCCTCCTCCTCCGTAGCCCTTTTTGGCTCAAGAGCCCGCAGCGGGCACACTCCTGTTGCTCAAGCCAATCCGTCCCCTCATGTTCACCCGGCTTGCTGCTGATGTGGATGCCCCGCTGCCGCTGGCTACGGGACTCGCCCCTGGTGCGTGGCGAGAGGCCGGAGCTGCCGTTCCTCGGGCAGACGGCAGCGGCGCGCGAGGGCGGCTGCAGCTGCGGACAACCTTGTTCGTAGGCTCGGCGACCAGATTCGTGCGACAAGGAGCTGGCCGATCGGCTTGCTCTGAAGAGCGCCAGTCTCGGCGGCGCCACGGTCGGGGGAGAAGGTCCGCACCATCGACGTGGCGCGTCGGAACACCGCCGCGCACTGCTTCGACGCGTCGGCCGACGCCCTGGCAGAGGCCACACTCACGCAGCTCGACCGCATCCAGCGCACGGCGCGACCGCGTGGGCGGCGGGCCAGGGCGCGGGCTGTGCCGACGGCGGAGGCGGCGGCGGCCGATGGGGCCATCGCATGCCCGTCGGAGCTCTTCTTTGGCATCGGCTGCCACTGTTTTCGGGGATGGACAGACCCCCCTTTAGTAAAACGTGGTTTAGTGAAAACGACCTGAGGCCCAGACCTGGCGGGCGCCTGGAAAATAACGGCCACGGCGCCCTCTCGAGAACCGAAAACGGACAATTCACTAATCGACGTGTCACTGTGGGGGGTTCTGTCCACTCCCGATGTTCTCTCGTCTCTGATGAAGGGCGAGAGCACCGGCCTGCAGGACCAGATCGAGGACTCCACGCAGGACAGACGGGCAGTCCCTCCCGGAGTCGGGGTCCACCGAGAAGGACGGCAACGCAAGGCGTGGCTCCGCACTGACGCGGAGTGGCTCGTGCCTCTGGTGGAGTTGCACAGGCAGATGCTCGCCTCCGCTGCTGTGGACCGAAGCTGCACGCAGCCGTTCGTCCGTCGTCGAGCGCGCCTCGACCCCGTGGGGTACTCCGCGCCGCGGCCGTGCCCCCGCCGGCCGCGGGCAGCCTGGGCGCGGAGGCGCGGGTGGCCGTCTCCGAGGGGCGCGTTCGACGAGCACGACGAGGTCGGGGGTGTCCGGCGCCGTGGACTGGAGAGGCTTCGGCAGTGGCCTCTACGTCGCTGCTTCCTCGTCTCCCTCGTCGGCATGGGCGGGGAGGCCTGCGGAAGGTGTGGGGGGCATGGTGTACCCGTTCGTTTCTCACAGGCGCAGCTGGAGTGCCACACCATGTCCCCGCCGGACACTAATGCCGAGTGTCGTCAACAATGATTTGATGCAGTGGAAGTGCCTTCCTCGAGGGCTGCCTGGCTATGGCGTGGCATCACAGCCAGTAGTACCCGCTGCCCGTGCTCGGCCGCGTCGGCGTCGGCTTCGAGTCCGCGTACCTCTTCTCGATCTCGAAGTGCGTGGACATAGTGTGCTGCATCGTCAGCATGGCCGTGCACGGGAGCGCGGGCAGTGGTGGAGCGAATCCTCCTCCTCCCCTCCTCTCCTCTCCTCCTCCCCCTCCTCCCCCTCCTCCTCCTCCTCCTCCTCCTCTCCTCCTCCTCCTCCTCCTCTCCTCCTTCCTCCTCCCCCTCTCCCTCTCCTCCTCCTCCTCGTCTCCCTCCTCCTCCTCCTCCTCCCCTCCTCCTCTCCTCCTCCTCCTCCTCCTCCTACTCCTCCTCCTCCTCCTTCTCCCCGACTCCCTTCCCCGACACTGCCCGAGGCCTCCCGCACGCGGCGCTGCAAGATGCCCAGAGACCAGCCCAAAACAGCTCGACGATCCCTGAGATGCCTCACGATGCTCCAAAGATTTAAGTCGGGCCTGTCCCCCTACAGGGGGATTTTCGACGAAAATCTAAAAATACTCCAAAAATACCCCAAAAAGGTCAAAAGATATTCAAAAAATAGTCCCCAGACTATGTTGGGACTATTTTTTCAATATTTCTGGGGTATTCTGCATTCGTCGTCGAAAATCCCCCTGTAGGGGGACAGGCCCGACTTAACCCAAGATGCCCCGGGAGACTCCAAGATGGCCAAACACCCATGGACTGAGCAGCACACGGTTTCAATTGTCGCTCGCTTCCTGGACACTTCTGCCAAACCAAAGGCACTCTTTCACTACACGCTGCGCCCCGATGGTCCCGAGACCTTGCAGACGGCTCCCGGAAGAGACGTAAGGGGCGACAAGAAATCACCTCTCTGAACTTCTCTGATATTTCAGAGGCCTCCCAAGTAGGGTCCGGGTAGATTGGGTCGGACGATCGCGCCGCATCGCCGATGCATTGGCGACGCCAGCGTGGAGAAAAACTTGCTCCACATCGGGTTGCCTCGCCAATGGATCGGCGATGCGGCGCGATCCTCCCACCCCATGTACTCGGACCCCGTTTCTTTGGACGCCCGAACTGGGTGCGGAAAAAATGGGTACGATGGCCAGCTCCACATGTTGTCCTTAATCGACAGCAGCCGCTGTTGGACAGGCGAGCTTGCGTCTCAAATGGACAGCGGGCGCGGCGACCCGACAGCGAACCCTGTTCAATCTGTGCCGCAACAAACGACCTGCAAGGAAAAGTTACATGCCTGAAGTTATCCAAACAGGCAGGTGATCTGTAAGTGAGGCAAGACGCGCAAGGCTACGAACAGAACGGCCGCGCCAGAGCGCGGTGATAAAGCCCCAACGTGCGCCAAAAAAGTGTGGCTCTTTTCTTCTTCCGGGCAGGAACGGTTCGGGACACAGGGGGCAAGGAGAGGAGGGGGAGAGCGAGCAGGGAGCCAAGGGGAGCAAAACAAATCACTACGCCGAGAGCAAATCCTTTTCCAAAATGAAAAAATAAATAACAGTTGAAGGTGTACCCATCGATTCTTCCTCCGCTTCGCTCCCCCCGTTGTTTGGGGGGCATGGACTGATGTTCTTAGCTGCCCCGATACGCCACACGCAACGCGCACCGCGTTGGCACGGAGCTCCACACGCCGACGTAGGCCTGGCGCGATGCGGTCGCTATCACGTGGGCCAACGCGTGCCGAACCAGCACAGCACGCAGCGCGTGAACACCAACGCGGGCGCATCACGGCAGCGAAGCTCGGAGGCGGCGAAGGGGGGCGACGCTGGCTGGGAACCCAGACAGGCTGCCAGGAGGCGGGGATGAGGCCAAATCCGCTCAACATCGATCCTCGGACCCCTCCTTGGGTCCAGCTGGTGCAGCGCTTCACCTCGGATCTGTGGCCGAGAAACGCCAAAAACGGATGCCAAACCCAGAACCTCGAACCTGCACGCCCTTCCCTGCTCGTCAACAGGATGGGCCACCTCAGACTCCCAGCTGGCTCCAAAACTAAACCTATGTTTGGGACCGGCGCATCAAGGGCCGCCTTGGTTTGGCAAGGGGGGGAGGAGGAAGAAGAGAAGGGGGAGAAGGAGGAGGAGGAGGCTGAGTGTGAGGGCGAGGGCGACGAGGAGGAAGAGGAGGAGGAGGAGCATGAGGGTGAGGGCGAAAAGGACGAGGAGGAGGAGGACGAGGGTGAGCATGAGGGTGAGGGCGAAGAGGACGAGGAGAAGGAGGAGGGCGAGGATGAGGGTGAGGGCGAAGAGGACGAGGAGAAGGAGGAGGAGGAGGTGGGCGAGGAGGAGGTGGAGGAGGAGAACGAGGAGGAGAAAGAGGAGGAGGAGAAGGAGGAGGAGGAGGAAGAGAAGGAAGAGGAGGAGGAGGAGGAGGAGGAGGAGGAGGAGGAGGAGGAGGAGGAGGAGGAGGCAGAGCAGCACCACCGCCAGCCGAGGAGGCCATGGGATTCGGCATGCAAAAATAAACAAACGAGTTCATCCAATCCTCGCCGAACTCTCCAATTTCGGGGGCACCCGCCTCGCTTGTCCTCCTATCAACAACCCGCTGCCCGAGGCTTTCGGCCTCGGCGCGGGAGGGGAAGCCAAAAAACAGGCGAGCTCCCTAACGAGGTCGACCCAGCATCCGTAAACAGCGCTGGGAGGAGGTCCAAGGGGAGGTTCACCATCAAGACCGAGCTTCGCGGCCAAGAACTCCCGGGAGGCATCAGAGAGGGCAGCGGCCGCCCCCCCAGACGCCCGTTCTTACGGGACGGGTGTTTGCCACGCAAAACCCAAGCCAATTCCCTCTTGCGACCCTCAGTGCGGACACCGAGGCGATTCGACACCAAACCACTCCTGCCCGGGCGGCCCTGGGCGCCCTGGGCGCCCATCTTTACCAGCGGAGAAGACAGTGAGTTGCCAAGCCCTTCCGTGTCGACGGAGTGTGAGATGTTTGATGGCAGTGGCAACCCACTGGACATGGAACCTAATCAGATCGCATCCCTCACTACTGCTGCGCCTCTTCGTCTAGCCTCAGACGGCTCGTGTAGCAAGCAGTTGCTGCGACCGCTGCGCAGAGCCTCCTGGGCGATCGCAGTGTGCCCAGATGCTGGAGATGAGCCCGTCGCTGTTATGCGTGGGATAGTCCCAGGCCAGCTTCCCCGGACTCCAGCGATGGCTGAACATGTTGCCATCGCTATTTGTGGTCGCATCCGATTGTCTAGCGGCGGTCAGAGTCTGCCAGCAGCAGGTTTCATGTCAGATCAGTGTTTCTACTAAGTCTGCAGGTATCAGACAATTCGCCCTCCAGCTGGAGGGGACGCCCTTCATACAGTCCATCCAGCATGTCAAAGCGCACCGCTCAGAAGGGGTCCTCGACGATTTGGAGGGCACTGAAAGGATATATGCACATGCGAACTCGGTTGTGGATAAGCAGGCAAAAGTTGCCCCAGGTACCCACCCCGAGCCCTTCGCCCCAGTGTTCAGCTGAGTTGGATCCGGCGGCCCAAAGGGCCTCGTGGTTCCCGAGAGTTGCCGCGGAGGTCCTGCCACTTGTTCATAATGATGTGCGGTGGAAAAGGCAAGGGCTCCCAACTTCGCGCTTCGCGCTGCGCGAAGCGCGAAGCGCGAATAACTTCGCGCTCTCGCGCCGCCCCCCCAAAGGGAGAATAGGAGGACGAGGAGGAGGGGGAGAAGGAACGAGGACCGCGAAGCGCGAAGCGCGAATAACTTCGCGCCCTCGAGGGAGCCCTTGAAAAGGCCACCCAAGACCTTTGCCACTAGGTCTCAACATTCTGTGCCCTGGCACGAATGACAGCTCGGTGAGCTAGGCGTACCGTGCAGATTGTGCCTGGCTTTGGCCGAAGGCCCACGCGAGCAGCCGCACACGAACGGCTGCCCAGGCGTGCCGAAGGTGATTGCGAAACTGCTCTCCGATTCCAAGGGACATAGCCTCGTCGCCTGGGCTGGATCGACGGCTCGAGACGCTGTGGTGGGCTCCTCGTCGTCGTCGTGTCTCCCTGCGTCCCGAGAGCAAAATATCGTTTGTTTGAATTGTGGAGGGTGGTCCCAAGGACGAGCTCGAAAGCTCGGCAGCAGTTGCGAGGCGCCAACGAGAAAAGGTCTCGAGGTCCTCGGGAGGCTCCGCTAGGGCAAGTGCCCAAACAGTCGTGTGCAGGCGCTTCTTGATAAGACTGTGCCTCTATCGAGGCTGGTGGAGTCGACGTCAGACCCCAGGACCTCGAGCGCCCCCTCTGTTGTTCGGACTCGTTTTTCGGCCTCGGACTCGGCCCCCTCCTATGAGCAACGTATGTCGGCACTCGTAGAACGAATCCGACTCAAAGAGCAGGGTTCGGCCGCTATTTCTCGGGGATAAGTTTTTTGGGGCCTCCAGTCGGCCTTTAGGCCCAACTCCAGAGCGTCCCTTCCCCACCTTTGTTTTCTTGGTTTTAGTGCTGTGCACTTCCCCCTTGGGGTACGCCAGGGCTGAGCAGGCCCCACGCCCCTCCGCCAGGCGGCGGAGGGGCGCCTTGCAAGGCAGGTCCCAACACCGCGCCTGCAGGCGCCCCCTCGCGATCGTCATCCTCCCCCGCCTCCTCCCCCTCCTCCTCCTCCTCCTCCTCCTCCTCCGCCTCCTCCTCCTCCTCCTCCTCCGCCTCCTCCTTCTCCTCCTCCTCCTCCTCCTCCTCCTCCTCCTCCTCCTCATCCTCCTCCTCCTCCTCCACAAAGGACGACTCCGAGACGAGTGGCCAGGGGGCCGACTCGGCCCCGTCGCTCGGCGGCCGAGGGGCCTCCAGCTCCGTGACGTCCACCGCCTCGGCGGGGCCCCAGCGGCGGCCCGCGGGCCCCGGCCCCGGCCCGGGGCAGCAGAGCCGCAGGGGGTCCCACCTGCGCCGTCGCGCGGGGCGGGGGGGGGGGCGGAGGGGGAGGGGGGGGGGCGAGGAGGACGGAGGCTCGAGGCCCGCGGGGGGGGGCGGGCGGCCGGAGGCTCGAGGGCGGGAGGGGGGCGAGGGGGAGGGATGGGGGGCCTCAGAGAGGGGGGCCTCCGGGAGATCGAGCGGGGAGGGGGGGGGGGGTTGGAGGGGGGGGAGGAGGAGGAGGGTGGGGAGGAGGAGGAGGAGGAGGAGGAGGAGGAGGAGGAGGAGGAGGAGGAGAAGGCAGAGGAGGAGGCAGAGGAGGAGGAGGAGGAGGAGGAGGAGGAGGAGGAGGAGGAGGACGAGGAGGAGGAGGATCGAGTACCGAGCTCTCCGACGTACTCGCATTTAGAAAGGACGGTCCGCCTTCCCAGGCCTCGTAGCCGAACTGGACGACAACGCAGCCGAACGCGACGAGGGTCAAAAGGCAAGGTTGAGGGGTCCCACGCAGCAGCCTCTGCTGCATTCTTCAACTCTGCTTGCACTCCCTATCACTGACTGCGGCGGCTGGAGGAGCGGGCGACGAGGCCACGATTGCAGACCAATCAATCGGCGAACCAGTTTGAATCGCCGCTGGAGCACCTCGGAAGCAAAGCATGTCTTACAGCAGCTGTGCCCGCTCGGCGCTGGCATGCCAATCTACTGCTCCACGATGACAAGCTCACGCGGGCAGTTTCGGTCCCGCGGCCGCGACAGAGGGGCCTTGTTGATCAGCGATCCTTGCGCCGAACGGCCCTGGCCAAGAATCGGCGACACGCTGCCGTGCCATGCACCAGGCCTTCGACGACGACGCATGGACAGGCACTGCGCCACCTCGATCGTAATCAAAATAAGACAAGAACGAGCATTCCAGGAACAGGAGCAGCAGCACTGCGCGCACGGGCAGCACACCCTTGCCTCTGAACTCGAACCCTCGCCACCCGATCACCGACACGACCAGCAGCAGCTGAAGGGCACGCGGAGAAACCCGTGGCCCCGCGCGCGCACCAGATCCCCCCCTGGAGGGCCTCTCATCGGCCAGCGCCATGCACAGGCACGAAGACGGAGGCCGTCGATAGAGGGCCGCATGCGAACCCTACCCCTACCCCCCACGATTTCTGAGGGGGAGGGCGGGGTTCCCTTCGCTCGGGAGCTCCCGAGCGAAGTGAACCCCCGCCCTCCCCCTCAGAAATGGTGGGGGGTAGGGGTAGGGGTAGGGTTCGCATGTGGCCCCCTAGAGGAGGAGGAGGAGGAGGAGGAGGAGGAGGAGGAGGAGGAGGAGGAGGAGGAGGAGGAGGAGGAGGAGGAGGAGGAGGAGGAGGAAGGAGGAGGAGGAGGAGGGCCCCCTAGTCGAGCGCAGAGAGGCGGGGCTGGCTGCGCGCACGCCCGGCCCCGCGACGCTGCCGACGGGCCTGCCCGGCACTCGCGCCGCGCGCCTGCCCCGCGGGGGCCCCATGGGCCGCCCGCGGCTCGGCCCTCGCCCGCCGCGGCCACGGGGCGGGCCCAGGCGCGGGGCGCCCTCGGAGTGTGAAAAGCCACGCGGCGCCCGAGGACGTCGAGGGCCGCGGGCCGGTCGCCCGCGGGCAGCGAGGTGAGGGCTGGGAGGATGCCAGGCGGCATCCAGGAGAGGGGCGTCCAAGAGGGGGGGGCGTCCAAGAGGGGGGCCAAGAGAGGGGCGTCCAAGAGAGCGACCAAGAGGCGGGGGCCAAGAGGGGGGCCAAGAGGGGGGCCAACAGAGGGGCGTCCAAGAGGGGATGCCAGGGGGCGGCCAAGAGTGGGGCGTCCAAGAGGGGGGACGCAAATCATGCCCAGCGGCATGTGCGCGGCCCACAGGGGGGGCAAGGGACGTACTGAAACACGGAGAGCCACGAAGTCCGGGGAGATCTCGGGGCCCCCGCCAGGATGTCCATCCTGCTCTGGTCCTCACCCCCCTCTTTGCCGCCCCCGAGGTGCGCCCGACCCACTCCGCCACCCGCGCATCCGCGGGCAGGCTCTGCACCGCGGACTCCAACGCCTCCGCCTCGCGGTCGGCCTCCTCCCGCTTCCACCTCCGGCGCAGCGCGGCAACCAAGCGGTCCGCCGAGGCCCGAGCGCCATGAGAACCGCGCAGAGGAGCCCGTGCGAGCACTCCATCGCGAGCCACTCCCAAGAGCCACTGCAGCACCTCCCCCAGCACCAGTCCGGACGCAGATGGGCCGGCCGGCTCGAGCAACAGGGGTTCGCCCGCTGGGGGACGGCCTGAGACAAAGTGGCTACGGAGGAGGAGGAGGAGGAGGAGGAGGAGGAGGAGGAGGAGGCGGAGGGGGAGGAGGAGGAGGAGGAGGAGGAGGAGGAGGAGGAGGAGGAGGACGAGGAGGAGGAGGAGGGGAGAGGAGGAGGAGGAGGAGGAGGGGGAGGAGGAGGGGGAGGAGGAGGAGGAGGAGGAGGAGGAGGAGGAGGAGGAGGAGGAGGAGGAGGAGGAGGAGAGCAGGAGGAGAAAGCAGGAGGAGGAGATAGCAGGAGGAGGAGAGAGCAAGAAGAGGAGGAGGACGACGAGGAGGAGGAGGAGGAGGTGCAGAAGGGCGGGGCTCGGGTGTCTTGTTTTTGGAAAGAAGATCGTTGAGCCGAGCCGCCAAGCGCGAATAATTTCGCGACTTCGAGGGCGCCCTTGATGGATCGGGCTAAGCACACGGTGGAGCTAGCTCCAGGGCAGTCCGCGGAAGGAGAGACAGATCACCCCTGGCGCCAGAGGGCGCACGAGGCCGCGCCGGCGTGCCCTCTCGGGGCTCCCGCCCCCCCACCCACCCCGGACCCCGGACGCGGAGGCGAGATCGAGCTCAGAGGAAGAGCCAACCCTCCCCAAAGCCTCCCCGCGGTGGCAAGACACCCGCGCAGGAGGCAGAACCCTGTAAACCCGCGCGCGAACTGCAGTTTGGGAGAAGCCCAGAGCACCCTGAGCGCAGCAGCTTCTTGAAGGGCCGTGGGAAGTTGCTGCACAGCGCCCAACGAAGAAACCCAGGGAACCCTGACGAAAAACATTACGGTTTGCGCCCCACTGTGGTCCTGTTCAGCTCCCTGTAGAACACAATAGGCCCATGCTGTCTCCCAGAAGGCGAGCCGCCTTCCCGAAACAAGCTGCTCCTCCTCCCGGGGAGTGCAATCCCAAGGGCCCGCCAATCTGCCCAGGCGCGTCCAGCAGGAATGCCTCTCAGACCTCCACTCGGGTGATAAAGGGGGTTGGGAGAGTAAAGAAAATGCATGCATACTTGAATATCGAGCCGAATTCCGATCTGCAGTTACATTTGCATGTTAGCCAGTGTGGACCCCAAACGGTGAGCTATCGCACTGTAGAGGTGAAATGCATGCGGGGAGAGCTCTGCGGAGTTTCCCACTGCATGTTGTGCTAATATGTGGTGTTGGCTGTGCGGTGTGAGCTGTATGGCCTCAGCCATGTCATGTGAGCCACCTGGTGTGAGCTGTGCGGCGTTGGCTATGCGGTGGGACCTACAGGGCAGTTTTTAATACATTTGTTTGTTTTTGTTTGAATATATGGTTTTTCAAACATGATTAATGTATGAATAAATTCATGCATGAACTCGTCGTTGTTTTTAAAACTAAATCCCTGCATTTTTGATACATGATCCGCACGCGGAGCATGAATTGAAAACGGCACCGTACGTACTTTGAGCCACGCTGTGCAAGCCATGCGGTGAGAGCTCCGCGGCGCGAGCCATGTCGCGCGCAAGCTGTGCCCCACACCCAGGGCACGAGGCGCCCGCGAGGCGCCCACGAGGCGCCCGCGGGCGGGCCCCGGGCGACACCTCGGCGGGCCCGCCCGGGGCACCGGAGGAGGAGGAGGAGGAGGAGGAGGAGGAGGAGGAGGAGGAGGAGGAGGAGGGGGAGGAGGAGGGGGAGGAGGAGGAGGGAGGAGGAGGAGAGAGGAGGAGTGAAGGAGAGGAGGAGGAGGAGGAGGAGGAGGAGGAGGAGGAGGAGGAGGAGGCACCGGGGGGATCGCCCGCGAGCGCACGGCGCGCGCGAGGCGCCCCCGGGGCGGGCGCCGGGGCGCCGACCAGGCGACGCCTCGGCGGAGCCGCCCGGTGCACGGGGCGCCGAAGAGGCGAGGCGCCTCGGCCGACGCACCGCAGGGCAGCGGGACAATCACCGAGTGCCCACGACGGCGCCCACGGCGGGCAGGGGGCGCCCACGCGGAAGCTCCTCGGCGGGCCCATCCGCCCACGTGGGAAGCAAGAGCTCCCAAGTCCAAGCACTGGCTGGGGAACATTGCGCTGCAGGTCGAGTGCGTCTCGACTCTGGTTGCGGCACGTCGACTGGTCGCACTGTGGTGCACCTGTCGATGCGCATTCCGACGGCAGTTGGATAGGCAGGTCAATGTGCATTGACATGTGAAATCCGATGCGTGAAGTTCAAACTGCTTGTCTGAATGTATGCATAATCAGATGATGGTGGAAGTTCGATGTACATGCTGGTGCACATGCCGATTGTCAGCTGTTGTGCCATTATATGTGCTGTTTATGATGGCTCACGTGAACCAGAGTTTAAAACTATGTGTGTCTCGCTTGTTATGCCGAATTGTATCTCGAAGTGCATGCCAGATTACGTTTCGATGTACGCTTAGCATTGAAACACGGCTTTCCCTTTTACGCTTCCCACAGGCAACCACGAAACAGCCCGCGGGACAACCGCGGGATAACCCGCAGGAAACCAACGGGACAACCAAGGGAGAATCACGGGACAACCCGCAGGACAACCGAAAGACAAACCTGGGACAACCACGGGACCAACGACGGGGCAGACCACGGGGCAACCACGAGAAAACCCACAGAGCAACCCACGGGACAACCGCGGATAACCACGGGACAATCCCCAGGACAATCCGAGGGACAACCGCAGGGCAGCGCACGAGACAACCACGGGACAACCCCTGGGACAACTCCGACTTGTCCGAGTTCCCGGGGACGGGGACAACATTTCGCCCGAATGTTGTGGAAGGCAGTA